GCCACACATCTGTGCAAACATCTCTCCCTCCCCTCAGCTTGCCAGCCAGATGAAGGGGTGGCAAGAGGAAGGTTCCATCCAGGCCCTCCCCAGGCTCCAATATGGGTTGGTTGGAGCCCAGAGAGTTTTCTTTTTGGTAGATCAAGATAAAAATTTAGAAGGGATGGGAGAATATGGTAACAGTAATAATGATCACTAACATTTATGGAGTCATTACCATGTGCCAGGCAGTGTTAAGCCCTTTGTATTCACTATCTCTTCCAAGAGGCCCTATGGCACTGTGGGAAAGAGGACTGGGGAGCCAGCCTGCCTGAGTCAATTCCCAACTCACCCACTTCCCAGCTTTGTAATCATGTGAATAAGTTAACCCATCTGTGCCTCAGTTTTCCCATCTACAAAGTGGGGACAATAATAATACCCATCTCAAAGGGTTGTTGTGAGGATTAGATGAGTTAATCCACATAAAGTGCTCAGAATAGTGCCTGGCCTGGAGTAAGGGCCTGCGAGGGTTAGCTGTTGTCATTAGGGACTATCATTATCCCCTCTCAAAGAGAAGGAATTTGAGGTTTGGAGAAATGAGGTCACTTGCCCACAGTCAGAGAGGCAGAGCTGGGATCCAAACCCAGGTCTGCTTAACTCCTCAGCCCACACTCTGAACCACCAGGCCGGTGCCAGCATCGGCTCTGCCAGCGGCTGCGCTAAGCAGGTTACGTGCCTCATCTGGTTCAGTTTAACCACCTACCCTATTCAATACCCCTGCTCAGGCCTAGAACAGTACTTGAATCCTCTCTGGCCAGCCTCTGATTCTTGTGGCTGAGGGAACTGAAGCCCAGAGAGAGGCAGCAACTTGTCCAAGGCCACACAGCAGGTGACCACAGGCAGAGCTGACCCACTGATGTCTAGACACCACCAGAGACAGAGCAAAGGTGGCAGCCCCTGGCAGATGAGATGGGGAGCCTGGCTGAAAGTCTGGCCTGGCCTAGCCCAGAGGTGAGCTTGGTGGGAGAGTCTGCAGACTTCTGGGTCTGGGACAAGCATTTCCTGCCTTGAGGTTTTCTGCGCAAAGAGCTGGTGGACAAGGAGGCAGCTGTGGCAGGGTCACGGCACGGCTGTCTCAGCCTCTGCTGGGGGATGGGAAGCTGAGGCCCACCTGAGGGGTCCAGCGAACACTGAGGGCCACAGGACAACCGGATAGGGCCTAGACTTGGCCTTCCAAGGCCCCCTGAAAGGAGCCAGAGCCTCCCCTCCCTGGACGGTGTGTGCCACATTGACCCAGGCGGGAGGGCCTCAGGAAAGTTTAAGGAGTGAGTCAGGAGAATCAGGGGTGAGATCATGTAGGGGACTGGGGCTGAGTGTGTTTGAGTGTCTGTGTGCCTGGAGCCCATGGGAGCCCCTTCCCCAGCACAGTGCCCCCTCACTGGTCTGCTTGCTTCACCGTGTCCCCTTCACCGAGCTCCCCTCCCCTCTCTAAGAACAGCTCACACTCAGAGCTGAATGCTCTCTGTGGATTAACAGATTTAATCCTTACAACAAGCCTAGGAGAGCTTTTCAGATGAGGAAACTGAGGCGCCAGAGGTTAGGTAACTTGCTCGGGGCACGCAGCTGCTGAGTGGTGGCCCTGTGGACTTGAACCCAGCAGTCTAACTCCAGGGTCCATGCTGTCAACCCTCAGTCCTGGCTGATTAGCTCCCACCCTCTCCCTGAACACTCCCCCATCTGATCCCCATCAAGGGCCTGGTTTTCACACCAGCTCTGGGGGAAGGCCCCAGCTCTCCATCCCAGCCAGTGTCCTCTTAGGTACCCTGCCAATCAGGCCTCGTCCCCTTCCTTGGGCAGTGCCCCAGCCTGGCTCCCCTGTAGTCCCTCTGGGCTGGCTCAGGCCAGGAGGCCAGACCCAAAGACCACTTGCAATCCCCCTGATCTGAGGGATAGGATGGGAGTGGGCCCAGGCTCTAGAGGTGGGCGAGGGTGAGAGGCCCCATCGAGGAGTGGCGGGGTTGGTGTGTACCTTGGCAAGGGGACAGCAAAGTGGGAGGCCCTTGGAGGGCAGGCGGTAGGAGGGGGAAGGGGTGATGGAGGTGGGCCTAGACCCAGAGACAGACAGCCTTGGGCCCTCCCTGCTCCTTTTCTGGACCTGTTGAGGGCTTGGCTCTTTCCCACTTAGAATACACACACACACACACACACACACACACACACACACACACACCCCTCCTCACCCCAACCCCCCTTCTCCTGGCGTCAGTTCATCCACACTCCCCACTGCACTCACTGCCTCTACCTCCTCCCCTGTGGCTGCTCCTTTGGCCCCTGCAGCCTGGCTCTTGCCCCTGCCCCTGCCCCCCACCAACCACCAGCCCCAAATTGCCAGTCCCAAAACGATGCTCTTCTGTGACACCTGACTCTGGGGGCCTCCCTGGCCTTCTAGAAACACTCTACCCTGGCCTTCTGAGTCATTGCTCTCCTGGTTTTCCCCCCACCTCCCCAGCCCCACCTTCTCGGTCTCCTTTGCCACCCCTCTTCCTCTGCACGCCCTTTGAATGTTGGGGTGGTCCTGGTGTGGGCTTCCTCTTCTCCCTGCACTCCTTCCCTGGGCATCCCCCCATGGCATCAGTCACCGCTGTACTCCATGGACTCCTAAGCTCTAGCCCAGCACTCTCACTTCCCTTCTGGCTCCACGGATGTCTCACAGGGGTGCAACTCAGTGCATCTGACCATCCTCCTTCTGGACCATCACCTCCCTGATGCCTAACCAGAAACCTGGGCCCTGTCCTCGAAACTTCATTTTTTCTAGGCCCCTCACCCTCACGTCCAAATCCTGCCTATTCCACCTTCTTAACTCTTCTTACACTTGACCCTTCCCCCCAACCTCCCCTGTCCACCTCATTGGAATTCAGGATTATTCCAGCAGCCTCCTCACCATTGTCCCTGCCTCTGTCTTCCTCCACACAGAAGTCAGGGGGCTTTTTTTTTTTTTTTTAATTGATGTTTTAATAGTTTATAACATTGTGAAATTTTGGGTCGTACATTTTTGTTTGTCCATCACCATATACATGTCTCCCTTCAGCCCTC